GAAAGAAAGAAAGAAAGAAAGAAAGAAAGAAAGAAAGAAAGAAAGAAAAGAATTCTACATGTTATTAAAAGTCTTGTTCAGGCAGCCTTTAAATGGGCAAATAGGTGCATCTATGAACAGCAATTTTTTTACCAATTTTTTTTACAAAAAAATTATTGAATACATTGTTAAAAACATTGGACGTGGTGTGATTGTCCTGACAACCCTGTCTGCCATACATATTATGGCATAAGGCACATGTTTTATATATACATTTATACAACGTTTTCTATTTCTGCTCATCCGTTCTGCTAATCCTCCTATCTTTTGATTCTAGATCCTTCCTTTCCCGCCTCCACCCTTGATAGAATTTTATCCCGTATTTTGTAGTATTCTGTTTCATCTTCGTCTTTCATTTCCAAAGTGAATTCATCCATCTCAGCACAAGTCCAAATCTTTTTTGAATACGTCATCTTCATCGGGGATTTCTTTTATCTTTCCTCTTTGGAGCAAAAGCAAATCTTGCAGCGGCGATCACAGATATCATTAAATAGATTGTAAACAACCATTTTTGAACCCAAAGCCCACATGTGGCTTAACTTAAGAGAGTCCATCCAAATTCCGGGGACCCAGGACTCCCCCTGAATTTGGACTCTTCTTCCCGCTCCAACATCCTCTTCCTCAATTCCCCCCTTCTTTCTTTCTAGCGCTGCTGGTGGCCGTCAGCGCTTCCGTGGACAAGATTGTGGCTCATTTCAGCGCCGCCAGGAACCTCGTTCAAAAGGTCAGTCCCTTGCGCCCATTTGTCCACACAACCACCCTGCGAAGTAGGCTACGCCGAATAAATGCCACCTTGGGGTGGTGCAATTCCAACTCCGCAGTTGCAAGCTGTCATCGACGTACGACCGCGACGGAGCCCGACATTTCTGCTGCTTAAGCGAGACAGTTGTGAAGTCGCGGGTTGTTTTTTTTAGGCCACATTTTATGACCTTTCTGGCCACCGTTAAGTGGATCCCTGCGGGGAAGGTTAGGTTAGTCGCCCGGTCATTAAGCGAATCTGGATATCCCCGTGGACTTTTGCTTGCCGGGTGGTCGCAAAAGAGAATCGCGTGACACACACACACCCTGTGGGGATGCTGTGGCGGTCATAAATACCAGCCGCTTGCAAAGTTGCGAAGGTCGTAAGGGTGAAAAATGGCCCAGAGTCCCCTTTTATCCCATGTGGCTGTAAAACCGGGACGGTCACTAAACAACCTGTTGTAAGTCAAGGACTCGCTGCATGCCCAATAAAGAGTGGAATCTAAACAGGACACAAAAACTTCTGACTTGTGTCCGTTGCAAACAAGAGCATTCCGCGGTTCGGTTGGTCCCTTTCGGCTGCTCAGCCGGAAGCCCAAAGTTACAATTCTTTTACTCCTTGTTTAAAACGTTGGGCAGGATGTGCGTGTTATGTAGGATCAGAGGTGGTTATTCACCCGGTTCGGACCGGTTCTAGAGAACCGGTCGCGGAAATATTGAGTAGTTTCGGAGAACTGGCCAATACCGCCTCTGACTGGCCCCGCCCACATCGATTCTCCACCTCCCGAGTCCCATCTGATTGGCTGGGTCTTCTTTGGTTGCCCTGAACAGGAGAACAGAGCTGGAAAGCAGGCTAGTGGGATAGGGAGGGAATGGAGATTTTGCAGTGTCCTTTCTCCTGCCACGCCCACCAAGTCACGCCAAACCAAGCCACGCCCCCCAGAACTGGCGGTAACCATTCTTGAATTCCCACCTCTGATTAGGATATGCTAATTGGGATAATTAGCCAAGGCGAGGTGATGTTCATTGCTCTTCCCCTGCTGCCAAGCGCTGGCACGGTCCTTTCCCTCCCACGCAGGCTCAGCTGGGGGACAGTCAGCTCACCCCCAACGTGGGGGACCTGATCCTCAACACGCTCTGCCCCGCCTTGCACGCCCTGGTGGGCGACGGCCTGAAGCCTTTTCAGAAGGACGTCATCACGGGACACCGACCCAGTTCTCCGTGGAGCGTCATCGAAGCTTCGGCCAGGCCGGGTAGGTGGGGGATGGGGGGGTTAAGTGAATGGGGGGGCAGGAGGGGGGGAAGCGGGAAACGGAGCGAGAAGGAAGCAATTTTGTGGGGATTGTGGTGTGTGTGTGTGTGTGTGTGTGACACAAAGAGAGAGAGAGAAGGAGAGGGAGGGTGTTCTTTTGATGTAGATAGATAAGACAGATATGGAACGAAGGAAGGAGATGATAGATTAGATAGATAGATAGATAGATAGATATAGATTAGATAGATAGATAGATAGATAGATAGATAGAGATAGAGATAGATAGGTAGGTATAGGTAGATAGATAGATAGATAGATAGATAGATAGATAGATAGA